GTTGGTGCTGACCTTTAAAGACCTAAACGGCCTCGGCCCAGTATACCTGAAGGAGCGTCTCCACCCCCATCATTCTGCCTGGACACTGAGGTCCAGCTCCGAGGGCCTTCTGGTGGTTCCCTCCCTGTGAGAAGTGAGGTTACAGGGAACCAGGCAGAGGGCCTTCTCGGTGGTGGCACCCGCCCTGTGGAACGCCCTCCCATCAGATGCCAAGGAAATAAACAACTATCTGACTTCTAGAAGACACCTGAAGGCAGCCCTGTTTAGGAAAGTTTTTAATGTTTGATGTTTTATGGTGTTTTAAATATTCTGTTGGGAGCCGCCCAGAGTGGGCAGGGTAATAATAATAATAATAATAATTTGAAATGTGCCCCATTTGCTATTATCATCATATTTATAACACATACCACCCTACCAACACAGTCTAAATTCCAGAAAACAGACCAGGGCACCAAGCCAGTTCCTTTGTGTAGGTGCTATTTTTCTTTCGCGCGAAAGACTCAGTCCATCCTGATTGTGGAATTTGGAGGGGAATTTGCTCAGTGACCAAGGGTAGGGTGGGGGTAGACCAAATGGACCTTTGGTCTGAGCCAGCAGGGTTCTCTTATGTAAAGAGACAGTGTGAGGAGAAGAGGGATTCCCCTCACACCGTCTGCATCACAAAGACACCATGGGATTCTGTGCCATCGTCATTAAGCCAAATCCGAGTGAGGGCAATGCTTCTTGTGGCCTTCACTCTGGTTTGGCTTTACCATAATGACACATTGAGAGTCGGTGAAGGGTACTGGCAGCAGCTAGAAGCAGGATCACTGCCCACCCATGTGAGATATAGGAAACTTTCCCCCGCCGTCTCACTTTTGAGCAAAATAAGCTCTGCAGGGAACCTTTGGCTCAATTCTATTTCGGGAGCTCTGATCTCCATAGAATCATAGAGAATCATAGAGTTGGAAGAGACCACAAGGGCCATCGAGTCCAACCCCCTGCCAAGCAGGAAACACCATCAGAGCACTCCTGACATATGGTTGTCAAGCCTCTGCTTAAAGACCTCCAAAGAAGGAGACTCCACCACACTCCTTGGCAGCAAATTCCACTGTCGAACAGCTCTTACTGTCAGGAAGTTCTTCCTAATGTTTAGGTGGAATCTTCTTTCTTGTAGTTTGGATCCATTGCTCCGTGTCCGCTTCTCTGGAGCAGGAGCTTACTTGGATTCTCCCTCCTCTATGTGACATCCTTTTATATATTTGAACATGGCTATCATATCACCGCTTAACCTCCTCTTCTCCAGGCTAAACATGCCCAGCTCCCTTAGCCGTTCCTCATAAGGCATCGTTTCCAGGCCTTTGACCATTTTGGTTGCCCTCCTCTGGACACGTTCCAGTTTGTCAGTGTCCTTCTTGAACTGTGGTGCCCAGAACTGGACACAGTACTCCAGGTGAGGTCTGACCAGAGCAGAATACAGTGGCACTATTACTTCCCTTGATCTAGATGCTATACTCCTATTGATGCAGCCCAGAATTGCATTGGCTTTTTTAGCTGCCACGTCACACTGTTGGCTCATGTCAAGCCTTTGCCTTCTTTCCCCCAGCTGCATCTTCCAGTGCAGTTTCTTAATTTGGTGGGTTTAGAGACTGCAAGGTGAAAGTAGTTCACTAAGCGCCTTGCCAGTGGAGATTGCAGGAACCACTACCAAGATTTAAGAACTGGGTGGCTTTCTACAATCCCAGCTATGAATAGCACAGCCCTGCAAGGAGACACGGCTTTTAAAAAATGTGACGGATTTAGCCTCCGAATAGGCTGAGAGGCAATATAAATCATAAATTCAAAAGTGGGATACGTTTAAGAAATATTTAATGAAATACAATAGCGGTGTGGCGTCTCTGACAGTGTTTGAATGATTTCTGTATATATGACAGATAAAACTAAAGCAAAAGGTTTCGTAATAAATTTTAAGATTACATAATTAGTTTAAAGTAACAGCCATGTATACAGCTGGAAAATAGAAAAGGTAAATACATTGGGGGTGGCTGGAAGTCTTATGTACATACGAAAGAATGTATTGTATAGAATTGTCTCTGATTTGTATTCTTTTTCTTTTTTCATAATACCATATACAGTCATACCTTGGGTTACAGACACTTCAGGTTGCGTTTTTTCAGGTTACGGACTGCCAAAACCTGGAAGCACTAGAACTGGTTACTTCCAGGTTTCGGCTGTCGCACATGCGCGGAAGTGCTAAATCACGCTTTGCGCATGCGCAGAATTGCAACCCGCGTGTGTGCAGACGCAGGTTGCGAAGGCTGCGAGTTGCAAACGTGCATCCCACACAGATCACGTTCGCAACCTGAGCATCCACTGTAAAACAATGTAATGTTGTCAAGCAAACTTAATTAAAAAGAAAAAAGAAAAATGTGACAGATTATTCCAATTTACCACTCTGCTACATGCACCGTTCTTCCTGGTGCCTTATCGAGAACATCCTGCTCCTCTGAGCCAGAGGCTGATAAGAAGCAAAGGTACAGAGTTTCCCAATCAATTGCATTTTTAACCTCAAAATCCTCAGAGGTCATCCAAGGAAGGCCTCGGTTGATGCCGTGGGTGAACCAAGAAGAGGCTACAGTGGTACCCCGCAAGACGAACGCCTCGCAAGACGGAAAACCCGCTAGACGAAAGGGTTTTCCGTTTTGGAGGCGCTCATAAACGAATTTCCTATGGGCTTGCTTCGCAAGACGACAGCCCATAGGGAAATCTCAGGGACAGCGGGAAGCGCAGCGCGTCTTCCCCACTGTCCTCGGACCTCCTCCGAAGCCTGGCGGCGGGGCGGGGACACCTCCTCCCGCCGCCGCCGGGCTCGGAAGGCTCCTCCGAGCCGGGCGGGGGAGGAAGACCTCCGCCGCCGCCCGGCTTCGGAACGGTGCTCCGACGCCGGGCGGGGGGGGAGGGAAGACCTCCCGCCTCGGCCCGGCTTCGGAACGGTGCTCCGAAGCCGGGCGGTGGGGAGGGAAGACCGCCCCCCGCCGCCCGGCTTCGGAACGGTGCTCCGAAGCCAGGCGGTGGGGAGGGAACACCTCCTGCCGCCGCCCGGCTCGGAACGGTGCTCCGAGCCGGGCGGGGGAGGGAAGACCTCCGCCGCCGCCCGGCTCGGAACGGTGCTCCGAGCCGGGCGGGGGAGGGAAGACCTTCTGAAGGCGGGCGGGGGCGAAAGTCTTGCTCCCCCTGCCTGCCTGTCCCGGAGGGGCTTTGAAGGCGGGGAGCAAAGACTTCGCCCCCGCCCGCCTTCAGAAGAGGTCCAGGACCTCTTCTGAAGGCTGGCGGGGGCAAAGTCTTTGTCCCCCTGCCTGCCTTCCCAGGGGCTTTAAATTGCCCGGACAGCGGAGAAGTCCTCCGCTGTCCCGGGTGATTTTAAAATGCCGCCCGCCAGCATTTTAAGATCGCCCGGACAGCGGAGAAGTCCTCCGCTGTCCCGGGGTTTTTAAAATGCTGGGGGTGGGAAGAAAGCCCTTGCCCCCCAGCCTTCAGAAGAGGTCCGGGGACAGACTGTCCCCGGACCTGGTCTGAAGGCGGTTTCCCTAGGAACGCATTAATTGATTTTCAATGCATTCCTATGGGAAACCGTGCATCGCAAGACGAAAAACTCGCAAGACGAAGAGACTTGCGGAACGAATTAATTTCGTCTTGCGAGGCACCACTGTATTTACAAATCTCCCGTAAAGTGCCATGACTTCAAGCAGCGATGAGCAGGCTTCAGGCAATGGTGGCTGGTGACCTTTGGGCCGGGGCAGGGGGCAGAAGGCAGTGTCACAGACTGGTTGGATGCAGGTTGTAACAGTGTTTGGTGAGCAAGGGAAGTCTGTGGCAGAGAGCAGTCCAGAATTGGAGGCAGAAGCTGAAGCAGGAGAGGCCAAGAGGCAGAGATGAGTCCAGCTGGTGAAGAGGCAAGGGTGTCTCTCCCTCCTGTTGCAACAGGTTCCCCTCTCCACTGGTCTCCCGGAACCAGGAGAGGCATGAAGAGAGCAGTTAGCTTCACTCAGGCGCAGTCTCTGATTGCTTAGGGGAAACCCTGGAGAGGGGTTTTTTAAATGCTTCTTGCTGCTGCCAGGTTGTCAGTGGCCTCCCATTGGAAGTCCAAATCTACTCCTTCCTGGGAGCTGTGGCTTTCATTGCACTGTCAGAACATCTGACCCATAAACGGAGAGTCCTTAATAGTGAAGACCTCACTTGGAAAAACAATATAACTCAGGTGGTTAGGAAGGCCCAACAGAGACTCCGTTTCCTCAGGGTCTTGTGAAAGAACAATGTTAAACAACAATTGATGACCTCCTTATACCGGTCCACAATAGAAAGTGTCCTCTCATATTGTATCACAGTGTGGTACGTTGGCTTGACAGCCACGGACAGAAAGTCTTTACAGAGGCTGGTGAACACAGCGCATGATATCATGGGCTGTCCCCTGAGCCCGCTAGATGACATCGCAAGGGATCGATGCCTTAGGAGAGCGAGAAAAATTCTCGGGGACGATTCACACCCTGGCCAGCACCTCTTTAATCTTCTACCCTCGGGCAGAATATATAGAAGTATAGTCAGTCGTACCAACAGGCTAAAAAACAGTTTCTATCCATGGGCTGTTAGGCTGCTGAACGGAAAACAATATAGTGCAACTGAATTTTGGGGTTGGTGTGTTGTGCGACAAGCACGCAGAGTGCAATGAGATTGAGTGTTTGCGGGAGGGAGGCTCGGTTAATTTCATTGTACACAGGTTGTACATTGACAATAAAGGTATTATTATTATTATTCATTAAAAACCGATCTTCTTTATTTGAGATGGTATAAGTTTTTCTCCCGTTTTAACTCGATCAAACAACCCACTAAACCCCATGTTCTGCAGATAAGCATGCCAAGACGTTTTATTGAGAACTGAATTGACTCATCCCCTCCCCCCCAAAAAATATATAGAATCATAGAATTGTAGAGTTGGAAGGGACCATGAGGGTCATCTAGTCCAACCCCCTGGAGTTCAGGAACATGGGACTTGAACCCACAACCCTGAGATTAAGAGCCTCATGCTCTACCAACTGAGCTACCAAGGCAGATAATTGAATGTTGTATTGCATTTTTAGTTGCTTTTTGGTTTTCCTCCCCAAGAGTATCTTCGTTTTAATTTTGCTGTTTCTGCATGCATTTGTCTTGGTTGTACATATTACTTTTACTGTATTTTGTGTGTGTTTAGATCAATAATTTTTTATGGAAAAGAAATGTATTTGACTAATAAACCAATAACTTTTTTAATCGGGGCAGGTGGGGGGTAGTAGCCTAAGTGTTTCTTTTTTTAAAAAAAAAATTGATTTTTCAGCTTAAACTTTTACAGAGCTATATCAAACATACCGTATTTTTTGCTCTATAAGACTCACTTTTTCCCTCCTAAAAAGTAAGGGGAAATGTGTGTGCGAATGCAGGCTGCGCAGCTATCCCAGAAGCCAGAACAGCAAGAGGGATTGCTGCTTTCACTGCGCAGTGATCCCTCTTGCTGTTCTGGCTTCTGAGATTCAGAATATTTTTTTTCTTGTTTTCCTCCTCCAAAAACTAGGTGCGTCTTGTGGTCTGGTGTGTCTTATAGAGCGAAAAATACAGTAAATCATAAAAACAAGATTCCAAGGAATCCTGGACTTCCATCCTCCCCTTGTGGGTCCTATTATTAATCAGTTCCTCTCACAGCTTTTATGAAAATCCAAACCCTATACTTCTTCCATTATGTCCAGAATCAACCTTAAACTCCAAGTGATATTCCAATCCTACTAACGATTTTCATTGTTTACAGTGGTCTTTAAGATAAGTTATAATTTCCTCCCATTCCTTATTTAAATTTTGGTGTTCCTGATTTTTTACTCTTCCGGTCATTTTAGCCATTTCAGCATAGTCCAGGCATCCCCAGACTCGGCCCTCCAGATGTTTTGGGACTACAATTCCCATCATCCCTGACCACTGGTCCTGTTAGCTAGGGATGATGGGAGTTGTAGTCCCAAAAGATCTGGACGGCCAAGTTTGGGGATGCCTGGCATAGTCCATCAACTTGATCTGCCATTCTTCTCTGGTAGGGACTTAATCTTCTTTCTGTCTCTGGACCAGTAACATCCGTGCTGCCGGATATACATAGTCTTTTCTGCTCCTTTGGGATTTTTGCACCTGGAATTCCTAAAAGGAAGGCTTCACAGCCTGAGTGTCTCTTTGCCCTGCGTCCCCATTAAGACCTCTTTTCGAGTCTCATTTGGTAGCAGCAGCTAGACAAATGGGTTGATGTGCCGAACGGAAGATGTGGGGTAGTTTCAAATGTGGCAGATCTGTGGGCTCTTTAAAGGAATATATACAGATCTTTCCCAATCATTTCCGCAGAAAAAAACAGCAACACGCCCAGCAACAACTCTGCAACAAAGCAGATTCAAATCGCCCCGAAGGATAACAATCGCTTGTGTGCTTCTCTGCCTTCGCTTGACTTCTATCAAAAGAAGCATTCAAACCACCAGGCAAATCAGCCAAGCTTGTGACTTGGTTTTGCCCACACACACTCCCCAGACCCAACAATAGGTATTGTGTCCTGTTAAAAATAACATGGAGGGAAGTAAAACTTCCTATTAGCTGAGGCTGGCCTTGCTTTCTCTCTCCCTTCCTCTAGAGCAGGCATCCCCAAACTCGGCCCTCCAGCTGTTTTGGGACTACAAGTCCCATCATCCCTGACCACTGGTCCTGTTAGATAGCGGTGATGGGAGTTGTAGTCCCAAAACAGTTGGAGGGCCGAGTTTGGGGATGCCTGCTTTAGAAAACTCCCACCGCAAGGCATTTCAGAGGGATTTCTAATTACAAGAATGCATTTGTCTGCAGCTACAGAGCTCACGAAGAAAATGAGCACCATTGCTAGGTTATGTTGGGAAAAAAGAAGAAGACAAACAATGCCCAAATGAACTGGAAAACTGGTCTGGAATTCAAAAGGTTTGGAAGCAGCAGAAGCGCAGTCTGGGCTTGTTTTCTGCTGTCTGAAAGAACGTAAACAGAGCCTCATGGTCACAGTTTCCTTTGGAAAAACATTCTTGGATAATTTGCTTCCGAAGGACAATTGTCTGGAGATATAACGCTGGTTTTGGCACACTTCCGTTCCTTCCTCCCTGATTCCTTTTTCTTCCATGCGTGGAACTCTTCTCTTCTTTACTGTTGTTATTATTGCTTATTGTGATTCAGAAAACGAAAATAAAAGCAATCATGGAAAAGGAAAGCTTTGCTGGATCAGGCCAAGGACCCGTCTAGTAGTTCGACATCTTGTTTCCACTCTGGCTAACCAGATGCCTCTGCAAACAGAGGCAGAGCTCAAGAGCACTCTCCATACTTCTGATTCATAACATCTGGCAGTCAGACTGTCTCTTTAAAAAAAAAAAAAATTAAAGTTTTTTATTTTTATTGTTATTTTATTGTTTTATTTGTTTTGTTTTATTGTTATTTTTATTGTTAAAACAATTCAACATTAATACACATATATTACAAATATACAAGCATACAAACATACATTTCATACAACATACCTACAACATACCTACACTCAATCCCACAGATAATTCCTTTTCCCACCACCATCCACCACCCCTCACCCCACCTTTGTGTTAGACTTCCAATCTACTCAATTGCAATTTCTTTCCACTTCTATTACTTTCTTTCACACACCTTTAACCTAATTTCATAATTCTTTTTCTATTACACATTGTTATCCATCTTATTTAGAATTTCAGTATTTGAAACGAAACTTGTTTATTCTAATAGGAGTTCTGATTTTTCGATGAATACTGTCTCTGACACTGGAGGCACAACCAGGGCTGTCTTAAGCATATGTGGCACTGGGGTGCAAAGATCCACCCCGCCCCCCCCCCCCGGTTGCCCAGTCCCAGGTGTGCAGGAGGGCAGAGCCGGCTGGTTGCCTCAGCGTCTCGCTGGCTCGGTCAACCCCGAACTCACGGCTCAGAAGAGCTTGCCACAGCGCTCCGACCAATGGGCAGGCTCTTCGCCAGACTCAACTCTCGGGTCCCAGACTCTTGGCCTGATGCCCCTGAGAGCGCAACGCCCAGGTGCCCCACACCCCTAGCGCCTATTGGTAAGACGGCCCTGGGCAGAACATAACCCTTGTGCCCTGTGGAGGAACTGGGGCTGCTTCCAGCCAACTTGTTTATTGAGCATCGCTTCTGATTCGTTTGCCCAAAGCTTGCAGGGAGCTTAGACGGCGTTTTTTACTGAGCATTTGTTCCAGCTCGTTTGTGGGGAGGTTAGATGATGCTGCGTCAAGCAAACTTTTATTCCACACTTTCCGGTGCATTTCCCCTTTGCATGTGAGGTCAAGCAGCATGTCGTGTGGGACCTGATAGCATACCCTCTGACGTTTCTCAGATGAAAATAAGGACACTCTATTCTACATCAGCTTCTCCCGCATTTGATCTCACCACACACATAGATGTCATAAACACACCAACATCGGTTACCTTGAGCCAGTTGCAACCTCTCCACCGAACCTACCTCACAGGATTGTTGTAAAGAAAAATCATGTACAAACCTTCCACAGATAAATGGAATGAAATACAATTTTAGCTGTAAGCTGCCTTAAGTCCCTGTGGAAAAGACAGGAAAATAATTACAATAATAATGATGATGATGATGAAATCTGTGAGAATGATCAGTCCTTAAATTCTATTGAACTCAGTGGGACTTACCTCTGAGTAAAAAGGCTTAGAATTGCAGTGTAGGGCTGCACACTCTTTACCCAGTTACCTGGAAGTAGGCTCCATTGAATACAATGGGACTTACTTCTGAGTAGACATGCAAAGGCTTGCAGTGAAAGGCTCAGTTTACAAGAAAGGAATATACCCTCCATGCGTGTCTTAAAAAATTGTTGGCTGCTGAAGCATTGCAATTAAAGAATTTAAAGTGAATTCAAAATTATAGGAAGGGTTTTGTACGTCGGCGTCACCATTTCCTTCATTTGGTGCAGATATTTTATTTTCAGTATAAACAGGTTTTTGCAGCTACACAAACACACAGCAAAGGCTGCTATTTCCAAAAAGCATGGGAGGTTTCTGATCTGATCTCTTCACCACTTTTAATAGTTTTCTGAGATGTGGAGGGGAGGGAAAAGGAAGACCTGGACATTCTGGGATCAAATCCGAAACAGGAATGGCTTCTGTAATTCTGGGACCATCCCTGGAAAATCAGGACAGTTGGAGGATATGTGACAGCTCCAGTGTGCTTTGCAATCAAGCCCTAGTCGTTGGCTATAGTTTAATGTTCACCTTTTTCCTAATTCCACCGCAGGCTCTTTTGATTAATGAACAAACCAGCATGCGCCTAAAAGAGAATTTAATACGAAAGGGAGGGGGAAATCAAATCTCAGATGGCCACATTTGCCCAACCATATCGTTTCCTCAAGATTCTTCCGATTACAAAAATGGATAGAGAAAACGTTGCCATGCTGAGCACCCTCTCTCTCTCTCTCTCTCTCTCTCTCTCTCTCAGTTAGTCATTCGTTGCAAGAATATAATCAGCAATTGGCTTCCCCTTTGCTGCCACCTGAACCTGGGATTGCTCTTTGGTCAGGCTTATGACCAGAATGAAGAGAAAGAAAGGCATGTGACCTGAATCGAAGTGTTGTGCTTGATTTACACACTCAGAAGAAGAAGAAGAAGAAGAAGAAGAGTTTGGATTTGATATCCCGCCTTTCACTCCCTTTAAGGAGTCTCAAAGCGGCTAACAATCTCCTTTTCCCTTCCTCCCCCACAACAAACACTCTGTGAGGTAAGTGGGGCTGAGAGACTTCAAAGAAGTATGACTGGCCCAAGGTCACCCAGCAGCTGCATGTGGAGGAGCTGAGACGCGAACCCGGTTCCCCAGATTACGAGACTACCGCTCTTAACCACTACACCACACTGGAAGGATAGAAGGAACAATATTTCGACTTGCAGTGGATCTCTGCACAAGCAGAGCAAAGGAAAAGCACACCAAGTTAGCTGTGTCAGTGATGCACAGCAGAGCAGTTTGGCGACCAACCTAGTCACCCAGCTCTCCA